AAAAAGTATTTGGATGCAATCAAAAGAATGTAGCATCAGGATTGTCGTAACTAAACTGAGCCATTTTCCCGACCACCACCATCCCCATTGTGATCAAAACAACGGCTGCGATGAATAGCAGCAGAAGAAACCTGAAAACAATGCAGTAATGAGTAGGTTTTATGGCTAAACTAATGGAAAGCAATTTTCTAGATTGTTTAGGAAGACTCAGCTCTACTTCTTACATCCCTTCAAAAATGTGGAAGAAAATTCATAACTTAGATTGCAGTATATGTATAAGGAATGAAATGAAGAGGATTAAGTGACTACGGCACCATTTTGCAACTGACATACCTTGAAAAAATGTTCTATGATGTATAAAATGCTGAAATGAGAAGCTTACCTATCAAGCACCGTTGCCAAAAATTCCCATTCTAAAGAGCATTGACGCTTTCGTCGCATCGCATCTACCTCTCGCGAAAATGCTGCCGATGTGCGTCGAAGCTGGGTATTTGTACCTGAGAATGTGATAGTAGCTATTGCACTGCATATGATGCGGTTTTCGCAGCAGAGCAGATGTGCAGAACTGCAAGACTTGAGGGAATGGCTAAAAATGCTTGCCAAGCCAACTGTGCGCCACAAAGTATCACTCTCCAACAAACCTTTGGCAAGCCTTCCGCTGAGTGTTTGCAAACCTCGCCTGTCTATAACTGAATAAAATGAAAGACAGGGAGAATCAATACTACACATTGGCAAAAAGGGATATGAAGATGAGATCGAGGACGAGTATGCCCACAATTTGATCGCGAGCGGAGAACAACTAATTTCGCATTTGTAAAGATGAAAGCCCAGCAGGACGCAGGAAAAGAAGAGATGGAAAACCATTTTTTAGAGATGAGAAATTAGTTTGGATCCTTCTACAGAATAATGTATCTATGTCAGCAAAATAAATGTGTACTACGCGGTACACGCGCAAGTTTCTATATACAACATAATCGACCCACTGAAGAGCGGATACGGTATAAAATCAAGAATATGCTGGGTACGAAAGTCTTATGGTAATGTAAGACTGCGAGCGTTTTCGCAATTCTTCAAGCTGCAATATCAAAAATTTCATACTTTGGTTCTCGATTTCGAAACTGGTAATCAAAATCAAGAAATTCCGGAAGCTGAAACTTTCCAATTTTCCAAGTCTGTTCGAAAACCACCATTTCCTGCACATGATAATAACATAACAAGCTGTGCACAAATTGCTACACACCTGCCAGAGCACTCATGGCACCATCCCACAATGTAGGCCTTTGTGATTGCATCCCAGAGGGTGTTCTGGAAAGTCGAGATGCAGCTGGTGATGGCGGCACTGAGACGTCGATCATTTGGATTGAGTTAAATCTATCCAGGCCCACTTTTGGTATCCGCAAGGTAGATTGCCTGGAAGAATAAGCCCACAATGAGCGCAATTCTCAAATCTTGACTGCTCTTACCTTTCTAGCACTGGTGATTTTGGATATCTCTCCTTGTACAGAGATGGTATCTTTTCCAAAGCATTAGCCTTCTTTCTTCTCCATGCATTGAGCGGATCGTCATC